ATATAAAAACAATAGAATCAAAATTAAAAGAATTGCAAAGGAAAAAGGACATGGGTTCAGTTTATAATGAAAGGGAACTTTTGGAACTTACATCAGAAATTCAAACTTATTATAATAATCTTGTAGAGGCTGCAAGAGTAAGGTCAAGGGTACATTGGAACGTGGAGGGTAAAAAATCTACTCATTACTTTTTCAGTTTAGTAAAATTGAGAGCACAAAATAAACAATGGTCATCAATTAAATGTGAAAATGGACAGTATAGTTCGGATATAGATACCATCCTAAAAGAACAAGTAAAATTTTACCAAAAATTATTTACATCTGAGGGTTCGGATGAACAAGAAGCAGGAAACTTTTTAATGAATATAGACACAAAATTAACAGACATAGAGAAGAAAAACTATGATAAAATTCCGACAGAAGAAGATATTCAAAAAGTTATTAAAACTCTGAAAAACAATAAAGCTCCAGGAAGTGATGGCATTATCTCAGAATTCTATCAACTTTATTGGCATAGCATCAAAAATGAATTTACACAGGTAATTAAATAAATATTTATTACCAAACAAAATATCATCGTCACAGTATAAAGGGATAATTAGACTCATGTACAAACAAGGGGAGAGGGAGGATATGGCTAATTGGGGACCAATCACACTACTTAATACAGACTATAAAATCATAGCTAAGATAATTGCAGAGAGAATTAAACCTATATTACCAAAAATCATTCATAGCGACGAAAGATACTTTAAACANTAGTGACCTTCCAGAAGTAAATAATATAAAAAATCCAAACAAAAATAAGCATGTTTGCAGATGATTCAAACTGTTTCTAGGTAAAGAAAATTCACTGCCGTTTTTATTCAACCTTTTAAAAAAATAAGAGAAAGCATCAGGTGCACAGGTAAATAAAAATAAAATAAATGGCACATAGGCAGCTGGAAGCAAATACCCCCAAACTATATAGATATATCATGAGTCAGAGACAAAATCAAGGTATTAGGAATATTTCATGGATATAGTATAGATAAAACAAGACTATGGGAGGGTAAAATAAAATTTAAAAAAACAACAACAACATAATCGATACATGAAAAGTGAGAAATTTGTCATTAGGAGGGAAAACTCTTATAATTAAATCCCTACTATGCTCTCAATTATCTTATGAATTAGCACAAAACACTAACTGAAGAATATTTACGAAAAATAAACAAATTAATATATGAAGTTCTTTGGGGTAGAAAAATANAAAAAAAATGAAAACATAATCGATACATGAAAAGTGAGAAATTTGTCATTAGGAGGGAAAACTCTTATAATTAAATCCCTACTATGCTCTCAGTTAACTTATGAATTAGCACAAAACACTAACTGAAGAATATTTACAAAAAATAAACAAATTAATATATGAAGTTCTTTGGGGTAGAAAAATAAATAAGGTGGCAAAATATATTTATCGGGAGAGAATTTGGCATTGGCAAACGCTGCTAAAAAAAAAAGGATCTATAAGCAGTGCAGAAGATGTCCTTAGCCAAAACTTATTTGGGAATCAAAATTCATTATTCAAAAATAGTCCGCTTTTTCTTCAAAAATTGGGCAAGGAATGGAATAACAAAGATAAAACATATCTGGAATGTTGAAAATAATAACTTTGTTTTATCAGAACAATTACTGAAAACGTTCAACAGTAAAAATAACTGGATATCGGAATTATCAAAGAGGGGCCCTTTCCGTCAGGGTGGAAAAACATACTACAAAATAATAATAAAAGCAATATTAGTGCCTTTAAAGTTTCAGATGATTTAGTTTGTTTTCACATATAAAAACAGTGTTTTAACAAAATGATTAAATATGTATTGTATCAAAATAGTAGAGATAAAATCCGTTCAGAATTGGGATGATCTTTTTGCATTAGACTGGAATGCCATCTGGCTCTTTATAATCAAGGATTTTCAGTGGAGAAGCCTACACAGAATGTTAACCACTGAATATAAACTTAAACAAATGCAGAAATCAAATTGTATTTGCAACTTTTGTGAAGAAGTACATGAAACCCAACAACTTATTTTTAGAGGGTGCAAGTTTAGTGAAACAATTTGGTTCAGGATAGAACAATTACTAAATAAATGTCTAGCANTATAAGATGAAGAAAGATGTAGTGATATGTTAAACAATTAATGCTGGTTATAAGATGAAGAAAGATGTAGTGATATGTAAAACAATGTATGCTGGTTATAAGTGAAGAATGATGTAGTGATATGTAAAACAATTTATGCTGGTTATAAGATGAAGAATGACGTAGTGATATGTAAAACAATTAATGCTGGTTATAAGATGAAGAATGATGTAGATGCTAAGTGAATGAATGTGCCATTGTGATAAATGTAAATAAAAATTTGCAAATTATTGAAACAAGAAAGAAAAAAAGGACTTTAAACAAAATTAAACAAAACCAATATCTAATGTTTAACGTTTGTTTGGCACATGTTTTTTAAAAAAACTTTCATACTTTCGTACAAAATACATTATGAGGCAATAATAGGCATATGCATTTGTACCCAAATTCTAAAATCAAAGGGTACAATTATCCCTTCATTATCAAAACCACTGACTGTGATCACAGTGTTTGTGATCATTAAATGCTAATTGCACCCATTCGCTTTAGAATTTGGTCCAAAATGACAAATTGCCGATGGACAAATAAACTATAAAAAATCAATTAGTCTTTATCCATTTAAATATAACCATTTCAGGATTTATATGAATAATGCAAACACGTTTAATTCAGAATGACCATGTTTTGCTGTACAGTCCTATGGTACAATATAAGTACTATACCTTCAATTTCTTTAATTTCAAAGAACATCAGATAACTGTCTTGCTCCTGTTTGGGGAGGGGCACAACGTATACCTCTATAACATGAATTGGGAGTATATCTTTGTGAGCTCGCTCACGGTGTCTCTAGTTTTTTTTCTGAACAATTCCAATCTTAAAGACTGACGTGTTCTGAACTTAGTTTAATTTAAATCTATCTTGTTAGATTTCCTGTACATTGGAATTTAATAACATATTATGCGGAAAGGATGAATAAGGGTTGCGAATCTTGTGACCAAATCGCTTTAACTGGACTTTAATACCGTATGCTTATGCTTGTAAGAAGTGAGTTTGCACTTTGGTCCCTTTATCACCTGGACAACACACAAACACGAGGCAAATAATTATATACACGTAGTCATTAATCTCCATTTTGACATTTAACAGGATATTGCCTCTCAATGGGTGATACGAAAACAGTTGTCCACGTCGAGGTTGATTATTGACAGATAGCTCAATAGGATCCTTATCGACACCGGATCAGTCTTAATTTAAACCTTTTAGCCCAATTGTGGACTATCAAAAAACCTGTCGCCCGTTGTCCGTCCTTAAACAATTCTTGTTATCACTATTTCTCAGAGAGTACTGAAAGGATCTATATATAAGATGGCTACAGGAAGGATTTAACAGATCATTTCTCATATTGCAATGATCAGTTCTTCTCCTTTAACATTAAGTACTGAACTAGTAAATAGGAAGATAAGTCTTTTATACACAGCAGAATAAAATCTCGATCAAAAGTTACCTCAATGTACATTTACTGTATACCTGACTTGATAAAACAGATCAGAAGATAATACAATGGTGATCCATCTAGGATATATTGTTTACATTTTAATATGAGTACCGGGAGTACTGTGAAACAGCATGAAATTGCACATTTCTGTTCAAAATGTTGTTGTAAATTTCTCTTCTATATAATTGTTGCGGGGTCCACCATGGTCTATCCTCCTATCTAGTTTGAAGAAGATACTTCGCACCACTTTTGATTTTGTGCAAGGGTTGAAATGGATAGAAACATTTTATTTTCAGATTGAATCAGCTAATGTTTCACTGCAGGCATTCTACTGCTAGCGCAAAGGTATTGTTGTTCTTTTCGGAAGAACAGCAATTTGTAACAAATACCGATCACAACATTTTTTGGTGACCTATGATGTTGCCAGGACGGGACGTGAAGTCCAATACAAACAAAAGCCTACATATTGATTCCAATTAGAGTTCACCAATTGACTTCACTTCAACCTAATACCAGTAAATCCCAAAGGGACACTGGGAGCACACCGTCATGTATATACATTTAGATTACCATTTCTGAATGACGTCAGAGTACGCAAATCAGTTCACCCCTGCGTGGTATCGTGTTATGCTGCAGTGACTTGAAAAAAGGGTTAGCTGGGTTTTTTTCAGACATAGGATTAATCCGTGTTGGCACAAAAATCAGTTAGAGATACTGGGCGAACATGAACGGTACGTATGTAATTTACTCTTGTAGTGGATGTTCTACCCTCCCTGATACGCTCCCTTACATTTAGCAAAGGTCAGCTTTGTTGTCATGCATGTAAAATACTTTTTACAATGGTGCAACAGTTCCTCATGTCAGGGATTGAGGTTTGGTTGGCTTTATATTGTTTAACGTCTTATCAAAATATTTGTCTACTGATTAAATCAGCTAGTTTTATAATTTTTAACTCGCCGGTCCTTAGCTTTTGATGTACCTCATCTGACATACCTTGTAAAGTATATACTAGGTGAGGTATCAAAGTCTCTGGGCATATTGTTTGGTGATAATACACATTTCTCCATCTGTCGGTGAAGGTAGCTACCTGGTTGGGTGTATTGCGAGTACTTACTGTGTATAAGAAAGACAGTTCATGACATAAATTGTATTTAAATTAAGTAATTTAAGACACAGACATGAGTCCTGGAATCGTACTTTTCGAAAACTCTGTTCACTAGCAAATATTGCATCCGATACAATTGACTTGAATCTGAAATTCATGTGATGTTAATGTGAAGGTATTGCGTTAAATTAAAGACTTGGATCACTACCTCACAAAAATGACATCAATCATGAACTACCTGAAAACTGTTCGACTGTTAAAAAAAATGTTATTTTAGCTAATTTTTAAGCCAAGTCTAAATGATGTCAATACATATTAACTTTTATCTATCTTACAACAATTGCTAAACAAGTTATTCCAACTTTTTATATTAATCACGCTTGTTGGCCCGGATGGAAGCGGTCGGGAGGTCTTGTTGTGGGAGGAAACCGGAGTCCCGGTGAAAACTTCCGTGGTCGAGCAGATGACCCCTTCCCGTCCGCTCGAAAATTCGAAACCCGGACGTCTAGGAGGACGCCTGCTAATCATATTTTTTATTTAAAATGGTCTTGTTACAGCGTTTTGAAAACAATTAATTGACAAATTGGAATTTTCCAAATCCCAGTTGATGGAAAGAAATACAGTGTTGATACATAAGACATCAATTCAATTTTCTGTCATTTCAATTATTCACTTTTAGACATGGCAACGCGTTTATATAATGTGACCTATTATAACGCAGAGCAAGAGGAAGTAGCACGTGACCTGGAATATTAACGTAATTGAAAAACAAAACAAAATTGTAAATTTCATTGACATATATCAATGTACCTTTGACCATTGGCGACGAGGACCCGGAATAGAAGCCTTCACAGGACAGCCGGAATCATGCCTTCTTTTCTCTCATTCCAGAGGGCACGTTCCAGGGCACGTATTCATGAAACCGTTTTCATGCTCAAGCATAGATTTTGTGCTTAAACTAACTTTCTTGTAACTCACTTAAATCAAGCCAAACGATCGAAAAGTAAAATGTAACCCGTGAAAACTTTGATTGGCTTTAGTCTCTTCAAATGTCTTCCAAATCATTGACAAATTTATGTGTTATTATTAGTTCATTAAAAGAACAAGAAATTAGGTTTGAGTACAAAATACATGCTTGAGCAGAACCTTGAACTCTTGTGACGTTAAGATGCCATTTACTTTCCTCGGCAGGGATGAGGTTCTCTGACAAAAAAGATAAAACTCATAAATTAACTCATAAATTATGTACGTGTTACTCTATTGCAGGAATGGATCGCTTGCTTTTCCTTATTTCGTGTATGACCGTCACGTTAACAAGAGGTAAATATACCCAAATGATAGCTTCACAGTATAAAATAACAAATCATCACAAATTAATTCAATAAATAATTCTTTTACCACAGTTATAGAAAGTCATTTTGAATTACATTTCACTGAAGTGTTTTATTGCACTCAATCAAATTTAGTGCTTATGATTAATGAAGTCACCCTGCAGGTCGGGGATCCAGAAAAGAATAAGCCTGATGTTACTCAATGCTTGCAAGAGGCGACTGATGAGATAGCCCCCTGCAGAATCGAGGACTCGCTAAATCGACCAAAATAAATCTGCTCTACCTATTGCAATATTTCGGATCTTATGAACTAAATGAGGATTTAAGAATGAAAGTCGTTTCAGAATTGTTTTTTTAAGTGGGATTTTGATATAGCAACATGTCACTAAGCAAATAAGTATCAATATATTATCAAGAACTACGATACTAGGATTTTTATTTGCTTTGTAAAGGATTATATTTTAAGCTAACCTGGTGAGTTGGCTTATGCGTGGCGCGGCGTCCGCCGTCGTCCGTTTGTCAACTTTAAACTAAAAAAGTCCACTCATCCAAAACTGCTGAATCGATTTTAATAAATTTTGTGTCGAGCATTAATTACTGTGCTAAAATATGTATAGGTTCTATAATAAAAGGGGTTTTTCCCTTGGGGCAGTTGGGCGAGGCTCCATGCGGGGCCTATTCCTTGGGTATATATCTTAGATTAGTATGGAACATCGATTTTAAACTGAATTGACCTACAACATAATTAACTGGTACCCCTGGAGGGCAGAACGGCGGGGTCCCTCTAGATGATTTACAAATGTAAAGGTTAATCATATAAAATAGTACTCGGAAAGAATGGTACCATATAATATATTCCTTCGAAAGAATGGTACCAGATAATATATTCCTCCGAAAGAATGGTACCAGATAATATACTCCTTCGAAAGAATGGTACCAGATAATATACTCCTTCGAAAGAATGGGTATTAGTTAAGGGTTTTGACCATGAATTGGTCAAGGGAACTCAGTGTCTTGTAAACGGAGGATGTGCTCCCCAATCCTATTTCCATGATGGGTATGCCCAATACAGAGAATATATATAAATCTTCAGAGTCTTCTAACGTATTTGAAAGGAAACGAATAAATCCAAAATAAACCAATATCTTAAATAACAAATCACTAATTACGTAGCTATATAATAATTAGAACATGATTTAGAATAAATTATCATAATTTCCATTAAGTCCAGTAAGAATACCGGATATTTTGTGAAGATAGATTTAATCATATATTCACCAGCATTAATATTTATCTGTACAGGGATTATATAAATATAAGCATCACTCTCAAATTTGATTGTGAGTGAATTTACATATCAAATCTGGTATTTTGACGAATATAGTCAGGTACATTTTGTAAGGGATATGTTGATATCAGTACTGCATATTTTGCATCCATTGAATAGCGCTTTTTAAAAAAATATAATGATCATGGCTTAAACTTTTACCAAAGTGTGAACTGTTTTGTATTAAATGTTTCATAATATTATTAAAGCTTTGGCATTCAAATATATAAGTATATGCATTTCCATTTTCATGTCCACATCTACCTGCTGGTGTGTCATTCAGATGATCCGTATACATGTCACTATTTAGACGGCTAGCATGATTTCTTTCCTTGCAAATTATCATATTGAATTTTCATGGCCCATAGTTCCTAAATGTACAGGTAGTTTCTTTTGTGTTATTTTCCATCGTAAGAATTGTTTTTTTTATTTGTTTCAGCATATGTACACTAATGGCTGCACGTCCTCAAATGGCATTACCTATTGATATTAGGTCATTAAAACAAAAACAAAGATTTTCACAATGTCTATCTTAATTTCCAGGAAAAGACTTTATTGGAATTTGTATGATGGGACTCACTGAGAACGATGTCTGCACTGCTTCTTACAACAACAGTCCTCATTTTGATATAAAGGATACATCAACTTCCCTCTACACCATTAAAACCGGAACGCTACTTAACCCTTTAAGCGGACAATGTTTTGACAGTGGTCGAGTTCAACCTTTCAGTTTTTCTAACGATATTGCATTAAATGTGTCGATTACACTCCCTGGTGATAACAATACGCACTACTATCTTAATGGCAAGGATCCAGGAAAAGGGAAATATGTGTACATCAACTGTACGCATACATGTGACGTCATTATACTGTCGCTACGAACCACTCGTGTTCAACTGATGTGTTTACAGTCTGCACCTTCTAAACCAACTTTCCTCACCACAAACGCTGATTATAACGACGCATCACTTTCGTTTAACGATTCCCTACAAACAGCAGTTCTTAGGACAAATCACTTCATGAAAATAAAAGGACGAAGTGTTGTTGTTTTTACCTCCGAGAGTGACTCTCATTTTAGACGCCGAATTCAGCAGATGACACCGTTTTCTGATCAACAACACAGAGAACTTGTGACAATCAAAGTAAGTTTATCAGATCGGTTAGCTGATAAAACCAAGCCATTCTTTCAAACAGTATGTTTCAGTGAGGTAACACTGCGTAGTCGGAATCAGTTCCGCGTTATCACAAGGAGACAAACACGAACATACCGCAGCCTCCCAAAACACACACGCATACACTGCACGCATGCATCTTGCACACAGGGGAGACCGTCCTTAAATGACCAAAGCTGTTGATATGACGTTAACACAATACTAAACCAAACCAATCTTTCTAACATAGTTAATTAAACTTCACAATTAAACATTGGAACACGATGATGCAACATATATGCAGACACAGCTTTGCAGTCAAATACCATAAGCGTGCTGGTGCATTATAATTTGTTTTGCCTGTAACAGTATCATTCGCGTTAACTTTTAAGTATGTAATAACACAGTTCAATACTGATATTTACCATTTGTGGAGTAATCAGAAATTGAAATATGCTCATGAATATGTATAATTGTATGCACCGTGTGTGTTTGTTTGATTGATGGTCAGTAGTATCCAACGTTACAATAATGACGTCAACACGTTGGCCATGGCACTATTGCATTGCCGTGTGCATTTGGTAGGGCTATATAGTGCAAATTCTATACAGTGTTAAATATTACAAAACATAATCCCAATTTCAACAAGTACACCTTGTATACCCTTTGTTCACAGCTGTGTACGATTTAAGTAGGTTAGCAATGGTTTGAAAGTTTAGTAAGTGAATGAGACACAGGAATGGTATTTCTTATTTCAGTGTCTCTGTCAGCAACATTGTGATTCGGCCATAACTGCTCCGTTGACTGTAACAACATCAGCTGCCGCTACCACAACATCAACTATGATGACATCCATCTCCACCTCTACAACACCAATCACAACTACTGCGCCAACCACAACCACTACAGGGCCATCCACCTCTACAACACCTACCACAACTTCAACGCCATCCACCACCTCAATAACGCCGCCAACCACCACAACGTCGCCTACAACTTCTACAATAATTACCACAACTACAACGCCATCCACCACCACAATAACGCCACCAACCACCACAACGACCCCAACGCCCACCCCAAGGCCTACCACAACTACAGCGCCAACCACCACTACATCGTCAACAACCACCAAAACACCTACCACAACGTCTACAAGGCTCAAAAACACCTCTTCAGCACCTATCACAACCACATTGCCAACCACCACTACAACGCCAACCAACGACTTTACAACTCCAGCCACCACTACCACCATCAAAACGTCAACCAATAGGAATACCACAACAGGTGAGTGATGTTAATATCTTATTTTGGTTTGCGAAAAATGTGTCGTTCAATCGATCTACTATTTTAATTCAAACACAAGATACCTCTTCCGTATCTCATCACTTCTGTCCGACATAATTTGAAACCCTTGCAGGTTCGGGGAAAGAAAAGGCCTGCTGCACCCTACTGCATGATCGTAAGAGGCAACAATTGTGCCCCCTGAAGAATCGGGGTTGGTTTCTTCCTTGCTTTCAGAACACTGTTCTACTACTGTGTCCCACTGCATGTGTATCGTAAAAGGTGACTAATGTGGGCCCCCTGTGGAATCGGGGCTTTCTAAGAAAGGGGACACGGAAGATACCAAAATTGATCGGCTGGGGCCATTGCAACACTTTGGATCTTTTTCGTTTCCTATCTTTCCCGTCTTCCTTCTTTCTGTTTCAGACAGTGTCTCCATTGGCACACGTCCTCATATGACCCTGACTGTTGTGAGGACGTTAAACCCCCAAAAAAACAAAACTGACATAATTTGAGATAAATTATCCCCGAGCCAAAACCAGTTGATTTCACATGCATTGGCCATGTTCCTAGCGTTATAGCAATGTGGTACTGTACGATTGGTGCGTGGGTAGATCAAATACGTGTTTTGACAAAGGAAGTAACTTACTTTCAGGAATTTCAACTCTATATTCGGTTTCAACAGGACAACACTAAAACAATTTGTCTTTGTGAATAATTATATGTGAAACCTATATCAAACCAAAGCTAAACTACAGTTGCAGATATAGCTTTTATTATTGATCAACAAAGAAATCCTCCGTTTGTAATATAAGCCAAGCCAAAATCAAATATGCAGTATATTTCTTAATTTTTAGTTTTTTTCCATCCGTCATCAGATTGAACAATTCTTGCATTCTCTATGACTCAATACATATTGGAAGGATCATTCCGTACTTGTACATGTTTAGTTATGAGACCGATCGGGAAAACAAGATGCCCGCCAGGCAGCCCGCTTGGATTTTGACAGTTACAGTTATCGCTGTTTCTTAAGTAAATAACAACCTAACTTTGCAAGTACATTCTCACACTCATCTGTGTGGAGTGTTTATCAAATATATGCCACAAAATGCATCCACTGTTATAATAATGATAAATTTGAATTCAATTACACATTGAGTCGAGGACTCATCTCACATGTGGTCATCGTCAAATATTCAATATTTACAACAACACAGCTATCACTCCAGCAGATAAAGATCGAACTGGTGTGAAACTCATGAAGATCTTACGATTGTCCAAAGTGCTTGAATATGCATGGTCACCCTATCAGATACGGGACTTGAAAATGAATATACCTCATGTTACACAATGCGTTACCTGTTGAAGGACATTAATCAACAAACAAATTGGAAATGGCAATAACTGGGTAACACTTTGTGGCTAGGTGTTATACTTAACTTAGTGCATGTGCCATTTTATTTTAATGAGGTTGCACTTTAGAACACAAGTTTTCCCTACCTCCATGGCCCAGCACACATACAGGCACGTCCTTATATGACCTTAGCTGTTAACAGTTAATTCCTGCAAAACAAAATCAAATGACCTCAGATGTTGCGAGGACGTTTAACAAACAAGCAAATTGTAGATGATTAGGATAAAATCGCAGGGATTTCCATTCAAATCACCCGTGGTCCATCGTCAAGCCGTCCGTCCGGATTACCGCTGGAGGGATGATTCTCAATTTAGATATGCAGTTTCCCCCCAGTCCGTACTTGTGCATGTTTTATTTTGAGATAAGTGATCATAAAAACAATATGGCCGAAGGAAGAACCGAATATTTCTTCTCATTTTGCAATGATCGGTTCTTTTTTTTTTTTTTTTTTTTTTTTTTTTTTTTGATTTTGTTTACCGTCCTATTAACAGCTAAGGTCATTTAAGGACGGCCTCCCCTGTGTGCAAGATGCATGCGTGTAGTGTATGTGTGTGTATTTTGGGAGGCTGCGATATGTTCGTGTTTGTCTTCTTGTAATAGCGCGGAACTGATGCCGACTTTATAGTGCTACTAGTAAATATGTGAAACGACACACTCACTTTGAAAGTTGTTTATATACAGCAGTATTGAGATTTGATCATAAGTTACCTCAATGTGCATTTACTCGTGCTTACATGCCTCAATCAAACAGATCAGAGAAAAGAAAGGATCAAACTTACAAAGAAGGTGGTACAATGGTGGACGCCATGATCCCTCTGGGATCTCTTGTTATGTTAATGATTACAACCGTTATTTGTATTTCAATTTACCCAACAGGATTCTTCGTCAATAGTGTTTATAGTTTTGCCTTTTTAATTACGCTTGTACGTTTCACGCATGTCGGTTTGCTTGTCTGTGAAAATACTTATATTTAACATATACATTTTGTAGGTGTATACACTAGCCCGACTGTGTCCTGCATGTACAGGTGCATGTTCACAGTAGATTCACATCTCAACGAGGCGGAGCGATCTCAAATCCTACAGCGAAAGATCGCAGCTATAAAACGACAACTGGCGGTGAACAAAACCAGCCTGTCATCAACAAGACGAAAAAAGACTAGCGCCATTGACAACAGACCGGTCGCAGTAGTAATTGGGTTTGTGGGTGTGGCAGTCATGGGCGTGTTTGCAGCTTTAATCATCCTTTTCGACCTGCCATTAATTGTACGTGGATTTACTCAAATGTATGCAAACATGAAATCTGAGTATACGTCATACCGACTTATTTAACAACACAAAAGTCTAGTCCACGGTGTAAAACAAAACTTATTCTAAACGTCTAATACGTAATAGGGAGAAACCAATTGTTTACGTCAAACAAAGGAACACACCGTTTTAACAGCCTCTAATCTACAACGTTCAATAGAACAAACCAGCTGGTCTACATGGTACGGCAGGAAAAACCCATTGAACGTCTTAACACTGCATGATTGCATGACACAAAGGAACTTGCGTGTTTGGTTTATAGGATTATGAGTTCATTTGTGAATTTTGGGAGGCTTCTCAAAATGATTAATTGGCTGTCTCTGCACTAAACCCCTGGCTTCGTGAGTATTGTGTTGGTCAGTGAGTAGGTGTTGTGTGATGCACGTGTTACACAAGTCTGCTGCGGTTGAATGGACAACACCTTTTCATTTGTTATGTTAGTGACCACCCCCATATTTCAATGGACAGGGGTCATTCTTTGTGATAAAGCGATATAGGTTGCCTTTTTCGCGCCTCTGGGTCAATTCTTTGGTGACCACAACCATGGATAAACGTTATTTTCACGGTGTGTTTTTGTGGGTAAAAGGATTCGAATTGATGCCCCGCTAAATATTCCGCTAATGAAGTCTCTGCTAGTAGAATACCCAGACAAGATGGTATGCAAAGGTCTAGAATTTGGTTTCCCTCTAGGGGTTGATTACAGGCCAGAGGTAGACAGAACTTCAGTTACAAATCATAGGGGAGCCAGGGAATTTAATAAGAGGTTTACATAGAGGAAGAATTGAATAGGGGTACAATTATTGGGCCTTTTATATCAAATCCTTTCAAGGGTCATATTAGACTTGATTTTTACCCCAGGTTCTTCAGTGAATGAGGCTAACCACGAGAAACTTATTTAGGTGAGACAGTCAATTTGTCCGAGTGTTGATTCCCTGGTGGAATTAATAAGACAGAAAGGTACAGGGTGCTTGTTGTTTAAACAGGACTTTCAGAATGCATATAGGCAGATGCCCATTGACCCAGGGGATGTCAATTTGGTTGGATTTGCCGTAGATGGTAGGATGCATTTTGACACAGTGTTGTCCATGGGGCTGCGGTCAGCAGCACAGGTATGTCGGAGGGTGACCTCTGCTACTGCTTTCATTTTCAAACAGATGTACTATCAGTGGTCAATTATTTAGATGATTTTGCGGGAGAAGATGTGCTAGAGAGAGCATGGGGGCCGTTCAGGCTCTAGGTACAATCCTTACGGCATGCGGGTTTTTAGAGTCCGATAAAAAAAGGCCTGTCCACCTAGCACCTCGATGGTGTATTTATTATGTAACACCGTTGAGTTCACTCTGTCAGTACCGGAGCAGGTGGTGCTTGTCTCAGAATGGTTGGGGAAGGAGGTGACTAGTCTTTGGTAAGTGACATTTCTTGTTTCATTGTGTGAGACCAGGAAGATTGTTTGTAACCAAGTTGTTGCGTTGGTTACGGGTGGGGGTGGGGGTGGGGTGGACCTGTCGATTTGCCGGGTGGGGAAGCTGGTTGTGTGTGTGCATTTATCAGTCTTTGTAAGTGTGTTAATGCTTGTAGGTACATAATCTATAATTATTGAAGGTGATTTATATGCTGCTATTTACTAACATGTACAGTATTGTCTATGAATATTGAAGGTGATTTATGTGCTGCTTATTTACTTACATGCACAGTATTGTCTATAATTATTGAAGGTAATTTATATGCTGCATATTAACATTTATGTACAGTATATTCCGTTTAATCGCATAGCCAGTGTAATCATAATGTTAATAGAAACATATTAATGTCAATTATATTGTCATAGTTAATCTACGCATGAATTACAGAGATAGATGCAATTGACTGGAATTTGCTGATGAGCTATTTAATTGCTTTTGTTGTATATGTGCTACATTGCTTACATATTAATAATTGGATAGGAAATTGACTTATAATTTTTTCGAACGTTTGCATGATTGTCTGTATATGTCTTGTGCTGTATGTTTATATGAGTTTGAACTACATGTACAATGTATAATACAATTTTCGGCCAAACCTATCCCAGTGTTGTGAGGTTGTGTTGGGACAGACAATTAGTCATTAATGAACGTGTTTCCATGAGTGTTTTGTATGCATGCTGGTATATCTAGGCTGATTACTAGTCTTGTTACTAAAAAATCGCAAGGGGCATGTTCATCGACATAAAATGCCTCCAGAATGCATAGACACATGAACACCTACATTACACGCATCGAGACACGTCCA